AAAAGCGAGTGTTACAATCTCTGTGATTCTTCTGAATTCGCCTTTTAAAATATAAATTCAAGGGATTTAAAGCTTGTTCTTGAATCTCTAATGAACTTGAACTTGAACTTTGTCTTGACTCTTATTTGAATTCAAGGGCTTCGAGCTTGTTCTTGCATTCTATGGTCTTCATCTTGATCATTCTTGAACTCGAATGCTTGAATTCTTAAACTTATAGCTAGAGAAGAATGGGTCGCAAGGGTGGAAGTGGCAAGACAAGACGTTGAGATCTTAGGCCGGCGCATGAACGTGACTGAGAGCAAGTTCAAGACCCTTGAGGAATTAACCCTTGAGGAGACAGAGAACTCCAGAAGGAGTTGGAGGGACGCTAGCGAGCTGAGTTTGAGATGAAGGAGGCCATCAATTCATTGGCGTGTCAGCTTATGGAAGTGCTTAACACGAAGGAGACCATCACTTCATTGGAGTAAAAACATATGAATCGCTTGGCACGATCGAGACACTAAAGGCCGAAGTGAAAGCACTGAAGGAAGGTGTAGAGGTTGGAGGATCTGCATCACCTGACCGTGATAGGGAGGCTAGGGTTGAGGCTCCCAATCCACCTATATTCAAGGGCGTCTGTGACGCTCAATAGGTGGAAAAAATTTCTATGGCTCTTGGAGAACTACTTCAAGTGTAGTCGGGTGAGAAGTGACGCTAACAAGATCAACATTGTCGTGTTGTACTTGTCCGAGATGGCTATGCCATGGTGAGGAGCAAAGAGGCTGAGATCGGGAAGGGGACGTGCATCATCAACACGTGGGAGAAATTCCTCAAAGAATTCAATAAATCCTTCTTCCCTAACAACGTCATGTACGAGGTTAAGCGCAGTTCCGGGAATTCAAGCAAACAGGAAGCATTCGGGCGTATGTGAAAGAGTTCACAACTCTAACGCTTCAAGTTCCCATCCTCATGGATGAATACATGTTGTTTCACTTCATGGACGGACTGTAGAATTGGACCAAGATGGAGTTGAGCGGTGTCAGTTCAATACCATAGACGAAGCGATCACACAAGCCGAGTCCTTGACGTACTTTAAGCATGAATGACATGACAAGGCGAAGGGCAAGGACACAAGAAGTAGTCATGCCAAAGGTGGGGGAGACCGTGGCCGAGGCAAGGAGCATCAGGCACACCCCAAGCAGCACGACCCCCACAAGCCAGACGTGAAGCGGTTTGGGCGCCTGAACTACACAGAGAAGCAAGCGCAGGGAAACAAAGGAAATGGATGCTACATATGCGGATGACAACACGTCTATGCCAGGTCCCCCTAAATGAAGAACCTTGGTGTCATCCTACGCGAACGGAAGGAGAACAAAACACAAGAGCAAGAGCAGGATGCGGGCACGACGTAGTTGGGCATGGTTGGACTGTGCAGTGCGATAGCAAAGCAGACCGAGAAGCCAGAAGATTTCAGCACGCAGTATGTAAATATCGCCATTAATGGACGACCAGCTCGTGCCATGGTAGACTCCGGGGCTGAAGCAAACATTATGACCAAAACGGCGGCGGAGAGGTTAGGGATGAACTTTGTTTCAAGCAACACCCGTCTCAAGACAGTTAACGCCCCACCGACTCCCATATGCGGGGTCGCCCAAGGAGTAAGCATCTTGGTGGAAATGTGGCAAGGTAAAATAAACTTTACCTTCACTACCTTTAGACATATTTGATATCATCCTCGGGCAAGAGTTCTTTCAGCGCTGTCACACTATGATCAACCCCTACCTCTAACGACTCATGGTCATGGAGCGGGAAGGGTCATGCATGGTACCTCTAGTTGACAGTGGCAGTGGAACCGGAACCGGCAAAACCGGACAAGATTTGCCCACAGTTTTATGATTTAATATATGTTTACATTTATTACAAATAGCTTGTGTTTTATCTTCGTTTTGTGTCTAAATTGCCAAACAACCGATTTTTTAACACATTCTACCTTAGGCCTAGGATGTACTGGGGGAACTGGGGCAGGACAACGAAAGGGAGCGGGACTAGGAGTAGTAGTAGTTGTAGGTGGCTGAGTTTCATCATCATCATCATCAAAAATAGGCGTATCAGTATAATTATCAATATCATTATCATTATCATTATCACTAGGCAAATCCTGATCAAAATTACCAAAGCGACGTTGTAAATGTTCATGATAAGGATCTAATCCTGAATTACTATCAATATTAAAACCCGTATCATCAAAATGTGTATAATCATCCTATTTATTCTTAATATAGTAGATTTTTTAGTTTTTGATTTAGAAGAACTACCGGTTTTTGCATTATCGGAGGATGTAAAGTTACAAACATTTCTTACACGCTCTAATGCAATTTTTCCCCTTTCCTTTTTGAACAATATTTTTTCCGAAATTCATATTAAAAAAATTAAACGTGAGATTAAATATAATAAGAAAAATGTTATGCAATTATGCAAATAATAAATCAAAAATAAATAAATAATTATTTAAATATAAATGTAACGTAAAATTAAAGTTAGAACGAATGTACCGAACGTCTAGTTAAAAAAAGTAGACGTTTATGACTGCTGAAAGCTGAACGTGGAAAGTTGAAAATTGAATTTTGAAGCTCCAAATCTAATTTCCAAAGACCAAGTAAGGCAACACTGAAATTTAAGATATTATATATTATAGAATTAGAGATTAGAGATAGAGAGTAGAGAGTTGAGAGAGTAGAAGATGAATAGATGATATTGTGATTTAAAAGAATGAAATTTAGGGGTATCTATAAGTAAAAAAAAAGGTTAAAGTGTAATTTTTAAAAATTTAGGGTATTAAAAAAGTTAGGGGTGGGGTAGGGGTCCTATTGGATGAATTTCTCTTCAACTAGCCGTTGGGGGGGCCCACTAGCCATTAACCAACGGCTAGTAACGGCTCTATTAAAAAAATTAAACTGGACCAAACCGGACTGGACCGGTAATTACCGGAACCGGTAAAATCCGGATATTACCTAATTCCGTCCCGGTTCCTGTCCCGAAACCGGAAAACTCAGGTCCTAACAGGTACTAACCGGTACCGAACCGGTACCGGACCAGACCGGGACGGAGCGGATCGGGAACCGATAGGTACCGGTTCCGCTGCCACACATACCTCTAGTGAAGGTGACAATGAAAGAAAGACATGCCACTTATCAGCCATGCAGATTGTGAAGGTCCTTGAGAAAGGAGAACCGACGTTCCTAGCTACTATTACAAGTTTAGAAGAAGACCATGGTGCTATATAGTCCTTGCCACCGATCATAGAAACTATCCTTGATAAGAACACGTGATGCCGGACGAGCTCCCGAAGACTCTACCTCCAAGGCGCGAGGTAGATCACAAGATAGAGTTGGAGGTCAGAGACAAGCCACCCGCACATGCACGTTACCACATGGCTCCACCCAAGTTAGAGGAGCTAAGGAAACAGTTGAAGGAGCTCCTCGAGGCCGGTCACATCCGTCCATCGAAATCACCTTATGGCGCGCCAGTGTTGTTCCAGAAGAAGAAAGATGAGTCATTACGCTTATGCATCGACTATCGGGCGCTCAATAAGGTCACAATCAAGAATAAATATCCTATACCGCTGATTGCAGACTTATTTGATCGTCTTGGACATACCAAGTACTTCACCAAGATGGATCTACCAAGTACGCATCAGAGAGGGAGATGAGCCAAAGACAGCGTGTGTGACTAGATACAGAGCATATGAGTGTTTGGTGATGCCTTTCGGCTTAACCAACGCACCCACCACCATTTGCACGTTGATGCACGAGATCCTTCATCCCTACTTGGACCAATTTGTGGTGGTATACTTGGATGACATAGTCATCTATAGCAATACCTTGGAGCAACACGTTGAGCACTTGAGGAAAGTCTTCCAAATCTTACGAGGGAACCATCTCTACGTCAAGAGGGAGAAGTGTGATTTTTCCCTGCCCTATGTGCACTTCTTAGGCCATGTTATCAGCCAAGGCGAAATTCGGATGGACGAGGCGAAGATTAGGGCGACCCAAGAGTGAGAGGCGCTCACGAAGGTGACCGAGCTGTGATCATTCATTGGACTTGTAAACTACTATCGCAGGTTCATCAGCGGTTACTCCACTAAAGCTGCCCCACTGACCCAGTTATTAAATAAGAATAAGTCGTGGTTTTGGAACAAGAAGTGCCAAGGAGCATTCGAAGGTCTCAAGGCCGCAGTAGGAGAGGAACCAGTATTGATGCTGCCCAACTTCTCAAAGACCTTCGAAATACATACGGATGCCTCAGACTTCTCCATTGGGAGAGGCTTAATGCAAGATAGACACCCAATAACATTCGAAAGATGCAAACTGAAAGGGTTGAATGACGGTACACGGTGCACGAGAAAAAGATGACGGCCATTGTGCACTGTCTACGCATGTGGAGACACTACTTATTAGGCTCCAAGTTCGTGGTCAAGACCTACAATGTTGCCACTAGCTACTTTCAGTCCCAAAAAAATATCAACCCAAAGCAAGCTAGATAGCAAGATTTTCTAAAAGAGTTCGACTATGTTTTAAAGTACAAGCTAGGAAGAGGCAATGTCGTGGCTGACGCACTAAGTAGAAAGGCCGAGCTTACTGCCATCACTACATCTCACTGTGACATTAAAGATGCAATCAATATTGGCATGCAACACGATTCGAAGGCTAAGAAGCTGATGGAATTGGCTGACCTGGGCAAAAACAAGCGCTTTTGGGTAGAAAACGGCTTCTTGCTCACTACCGGTCGAAGGGTTTATGTACCCAAGTTTGGGTCTATCAGGTGGCGCATCATAAAAGAAAGCCACGACACACCGTGGGCTGGGCATCCAGGACAGTGACGTACGAGGGCGCTAATAGACGTTATTCATTTCTGGCCACGCATGCATGACGATATCGAGTTCTATGTGCAGACTTGTCTTGTGTGCCAACAAGACAAGGTCGAGCAAAGGCAACCGGGAGGGTTACTAGAGCCAATACGAGTAGCAGAACGCTAATGGGAGAGCGAGACCATGGACTTCATCAATTTCTTGCTGAAGTCCGACGGGTTTAGTACGATTATGGTCGTGGTAGACAGGTTTTCAAAGTATGCAACATTCATGCTTGCCACAGCCGGTTGCAACGCAAAGGAAGCTGCTCGATTATTCTTCAAGAATATGGTGAAATATTGGTGGCTGCCGGGACATATCATCAGCGACCGAGACCCCCTCTTTAGCGGGAACTTTTAGAGAGAGTTATTTCAAATACTTGGCATGGAGCTTCACTTTTCCACAAGTTTCCACCCGCAAACCGACGGCCAGATGGAATGCGTCAACGCCCTGTTAGAGTGCTATCTAAGGCACTATGTCAGTGCGCATCAAAAAGATTGGGCCAGACTCCTACATATGGCGCAATTTTCTTAATTTGCAGAGGAGTGAATCTACCAGGCGCGCACCATTCAAGTTGGTGACAAGCCAACAACCCCAAACTCCGCATTCGTTGCCAACTACTTTTGAGGGAAAGAGTTTGCGTGCTTACCATCTTGCCAAGGAATGGGAGGAGCAGCTTGACACTGCCAAGTCCTACTTGGACAGGGCAGCCAAGAAGATGAAGAAGTTCGCCGACCACAAGCGTCGTCCCACGGACTACAAAAAGTTACATGGTCCTGGTGAAATTCAATCCAAGAGAGTTCAAAGCACTAAGAGGCGTCCATTAAAACTTAGTAAGCAAATATGAGCGTTTGTTCAAGATCGTTGCCAAGGTAGGCAAGATTTCGTACAAGTTAGAGTTACCTCCACACTTTAGGATCCATTCGGTGTTTCATGCGAATGTCCTTAAACCGTACTATTAGGACAATGAAGATCAAAGCCGGAACCGATCACAACAGGCACCCATTAGTGTCACTGCCTCGCATGACCGAGAGATCGAAGCTATTATGGACTATCAAGCCAAAAGGAAGCGAGGTCAACAAGCCACCGTCATTTTCCTTGTGCATTGGAAGGGACAAACTCAAGAAGAGGCCACATGGGAGAAATACGAAGATTTGTGGCAATTCAAGGACAAAGTCCAATAGTTCTTACAACAATGTGTTGCGGTCGCCACATCATCAGGTGGGGGAGCGTGAGACGTTGTCCAATGGTGATTATCATCTGCAACTATTTTCCTTTTAATTCCACCTTTAAGATATTTCAAACATTGATAGTACGAAGATAAGACAATTATATTCTCATGTACCCAAGGCCTGCCAAGTAATTTTATTTTATGATGTTTTGCGTCGATCACATGCATCCATTCACTTGATCATAAATGTTTCATGTGAATCTCTAATTTAATAATTAGCCTATGCACCTCTTCCCCCCTTGATTAAATCCTTGTATAAATAGACGACTTTCGCTGAGTTCCCCATTCATGATGCCAAGTTCCTTCAATGTGTTGATAGGCAAAATGTTGAATCCAGATTCTTCATCTATTAAGATTCTATATATATTCTTCTCTAGCACATGACCCACCATATACAAAGGATGATTATGTAGTTTTTCACGAAATAGAAGATCATCATCTGTAAATGTGATTTTAGTTTCACGTGCATTTGCTTCTTGTAAAGATGGTTCAATAGATTTTCAGATGATGAAAGAGACATCATTGCTGATATTTCGCTTGTTGCTTTTTCTTCGCCACTATAAGACATTTTTGGTGAGTATTCACTTGTTGTTCTTTCTTTTCTAGTAGATTGCACCTTCATTTTTATTTTTTATCAGAATTGAAACATCATGCCTCGACATTTTATTGATTAGAATTTATGTCGAATGATCTTGGTAAGAATTTCTCTAGAGTCACAATACGTCGAGGTTTTTGGTAGTGATACACTTATACCTTTGCCCTTTTTGGGCGTTTGGTTGATTTTTTCTTCTCCAATTTCTTCATCATATTACCTCTCACCGATTTCTCAGATGATTCTTTTCGTAAGCTTGACTTGTTGCGTCTTCGCCTAGTTACAAGAATCCTACCTCCATCACCATCTATATCAATTTCCTGGTCTAACGATTCTTCTTCATGATTTTTAGAGATATATATTTGGATTGGATCAAGTGATCCATACGTGATAGAGATCTTATTAGAACTAGTCTTCTCATTATCAAAGAGAATTTTATTTTCGTTAACCAATCGCATCACTCTATCCTTGAAGATAAAACCTTTTGCGAGAGGATGACTCACAAGTCTATGATACTTGAAATAATTTGGGCTATCAGCTTTTCCAGCTTCATCGGGTCGCTTCATCTCTAGTAAGTCAATGAGCTTTAACTCGAGCAATTTATCAAAAATTTCAGAAACGTCAGAATCCAAGAAGGGATTTTTTTTCTTGCATCTCCCTTAGTGTCGACTTTTGATTTAAATGTTCTTGGAAATTTGTTCTCATATTTTTGCTTTATGCCTTCATTCGGGTAAACTTTGTAGGGGACACAATTGCACTCATGGATTCTTTGTTGTCATTTCTAGGCTCAAATTTGCTCCAACTCTTGGGTTCCTGTTTGTCTCTTCCTTTGCGAGGATCATAGACAATAGTCATATCTTTTCCAGCAAAGGACATGCTTAACTCCATATCATGAGCACGAGTAGCTAAATCTTCGAAGGATTTTGGTTTTATTCCTTGCAAGATGTAAAGAAGCTCCCAATGCATTCCTTGAATACACATTTCAATTGCATATGCTTCACTAAACCTGTTCTTGCAATTTAGGCTTGCGTTCCTCCACGATTAATGAAATCTATAACCGGTTTATCCTTTCTTTGGTGAGTATTCGAGGTTTCTACAATTCTCACCATACATCTTGTGCCATAGAAGCGACTGAGAAACTCATGCGCTATTTGCTCCCAACTATCAATAGAATTAAGTTCAAGATCCGTGTACCAATCAAAGGCATTTCTTTTTAGAGAGAGGACAAAATGTTTGACAAGATGGTCTCCATAGGTTCCAACATTATTACATGACGAAATGCGTGACATGTTGTGTCGAATTTCCTTGTTCCTCAAATTGCTGAAATTTAGGATGTTGATAACCAACAAGCATTTTAAAGTTATCAATCCTAGAAGTGTATGGCTTAGCATACATATGAGAAGACTTGGTAGATATTTCATACTTATCTTTGATAGTGCCTTCAATAAACTCCTTCAAGCGATCGAATGGGATCAATCCTTCAGAAGAAACTTGCATCTTTTTAATAAGCGGGACTTTCTTCGCAGGATCTTCGATTTCTGGAACTTCAATACCCTTTCCAGACGCATGGCTCACATCTCCATCTAAAATTCCTTTCATTCAATCCATCAACATATCAATTCGAGACTCTTAGTGTTGTACATGCTTTGTCAATCCTTCAACCAACTTCGTCAGATTTGCGAATTGTTCCTTACGAGAGAAGGCAGCAGTCACCATCGTTTGTATGACCATGGGAGATGCAGGAGAGTAGTATGAATTGTCGCGTATGTTATTTTTTAGCGGACTCACGTTATTGTACATGGAGATGATTCATAAGTTGAATCACAGTTCTCCCCTTGTGGTAGAGCTCTTGTACCAGATTACTCAAGTAGAGCCAGTGTCTTCTTGATCTTTTCAGCAACACTACTTCCTCCTTCTAGAGTATTTGTGGAGGATCTTGCTTCTTTTGGAGTCGAAGACCCAAAAACATGAGTTGATGCAGAGGACACTTGAAGTGTTTGTTTTCCTGGTGTAGCAACCTTGCTTCTCATAACAGCTCCGAAACTTCCAAAGGTAACACCAAGGATGCCTTCAACTTCACCAAAGAACTTGGAGCTAGTGTCCTTAGAGGTAGTTGATCGAGAGTTGTTGTTCATGGAAGTCATCTCTATATTCTTGGACTCTTGAAAAGTTGAGATGAGAGGTAGAGATTGTCCCACTAGGTGTGCCAAAATTTGTAGAAAGTAAAATTCGCTTCGAGAAAACAATAATCAACAACGGAAAATTATTGCAACAATCGATTTATTATTTCAAATGCGAGTGTCACAATCTCTATGATTCCTCTAAATTCCCCTTTTCAAATATAAATTCAAGGGCTTTAAAGCTTGTTATTGAATCTCTAATGAACTTGAACTTAAACTTTATCTTGGTCTTGACTTTTATTTGAATTCAAGGGCTTAGAGGTTGTTCTTGAATTCAATGGTCTTGATCTTAATCATTCTTGAACTCGAATGCTTGAATTCTTAAACTTATAGCTTTGTAGAGGATTAAATGGCGTTTGTACCACCTATTTTCTCTAGCTTCTTGTTTAGAATTTTCTGTCTCTTTTCTGCAGTATGAGGACTCCTATTCACAGTTTTAGAATAGAGGAGTTGCGGTTGGAATAAGATTTCATTCGGCCAATAAGATTTATGTGATATGGCATATGGACTGTATAGAGTTGGCTTGTCATCTTTGACACGTGTCATGATTCTATTGGTTTCTTATTTGACTTGGCATGCCACATCATTTGCACACGTGGCGCTAAGATGGACCTCTAGAATCAGCTGAAATTAGGCTTAACAAATTGGGCTCATCTATTGTAGCCCAAACCATTTAATTTAGACTTTAATTAAGTCCATATTTATTGGACTTAAATATTTAACTCAATTATATTAATCCATAACATTTATTTGGATTAATTTAATATAATCTGAATCATTTCATAAATTTATATTTAATAAATTTTGAATGATTGCAGTTGCACTTTTCAAAAGTTAATTGAATAATTTTTAAAGTTAAATTAGATCATGTTAAATCTATATTTTTTTAAAAAAAATTGATATTCAAAAACTATATGAAAAGTATTATAAATTGAAATTTTTTGCATATCAATATGATGAAATAATATAT